ACTGACTTGATGGCACCTAACAACAACACAACCCCAGCTTTAGTGCAAAGTGTCACTTTAAATATTAATCGCAAGACCCTATTTGAGTCTTTGCACTTCTAAGGTGAAATAAAACTGAGTATATGCGTTAATAGTCTAACTCTCACACACAGAAAAGTATTGTGCTTCAAAGTAGTAATCCTGGGAGGCATTGTGGTTACTCTTACAAGGCTATCATGCTCAAAGTTTTTTGTTTTTTTTTTAAACTTCCCCTTAATAGCCACCTTTGGCTCCAGTTTTCAAATTGCACAAGAAAACATTGATGTTATTTTATAATTGTACCTCGTTATTTTTACAGACAAAAAATAGTGTTGCCTACCAGACTTGACCTTATCTTGTATACCAAATTTGACTTTCTTTTCCACAAAATCAATTCACCTTTCAAGGATGAAAACTGGACAGACTTCCCAAAGAGGGGTCTTTTAAATGTTCTAATTTGATGGCATCATCATTAAAATTAGTGCATCTCCTACCAAGGTGACTTTTGAAGTAGATGCTATTGATATAGCTGTGTGGTTCTGGTTTATTAAAATACCAGCCTCATTACCTTGTAGTGGCTCTTCAATAAAACATCCTGAGTCTCCCAGAATTTCACAAGTGGTTGAAATATAAGCCAGAGCCTGTAGAAAAAGGAACTAGAACATCAAGAGGTTTTAAATCCCCTACCTCTGCAAACAGCAACAGCAGCAGTAACAACAGGCTGGTCGTTCTTAAAGAGATAATCAAATAGTACAGTGTACTGTTCTCTCTGTATTCCAGGCCAGCCAAAAGTCTTAATAAATATTGGCTATTTACCAAACCTCGCCTGGCATAAAAAGCATTTTGATAACCAAATTAAGATCCTGGGTTTTATTCTAGCTCTGACTTTTATGCAGAACGATCTGAAATAAATAACCTTTTCCTCTGTCAGAGAAAAGATGGGTCAGGCAGAAGATGATTGTGGATCATGCACCCCAAAGGCGTTAAACTCTCTCTCTCATCTTCTTTTCTCTTCACAGGCAGCGTCGCTGCCATTACCGTGACAGTCATTGCCGTGGTGCTGTTGGTGTTTGGAGTTGCAGCATATCTGAAGATCAGGTAAGGCTCACCTGCCTCTTCTTTATGAAGAAAAGGATTCCATTTTGTTGGGCTCTAGGATGAGAGCATTTTGCTTTGTGCTTGTTTCTTAATAGGTACCTTAGCTTCAGAAATATTGGCAGGGAAGTGAATATGTCCAGCATACTCCCACTAGACAAGAATAGATGCTACAGTATCTGAACCCCGGCAAAGTAAAAGAAATAGGCTAAAATATTCAGCGCGGTGATGTAATGGGAAATAAAAATTAACCTGGAGACAAGAGACTGAGGCCTGCGTAGGCTTTCTGCTCTTAACTTACCTCATTGCCCTGAGGAAGCCACACACCTCCTGAAGCTCAATTTTTCTCATCTCTGAAATAGGGTAGAGGGTAGGGTCCGTGGTTCCTAAATACTGATGTTCTGAGTTCTGATCTGTGGATTTGTACCCGGTATGTAATGAGGTTTTCACTGGCCCTAACGCAAAACGGGGAAAATATAAGGAAAGTATG